GTTCATTTGGGTTTCGCTGCGTCCGCAAATGGAGCTTCGACTGTACATACAAATATCTTCAGCTTTTTTATTGCTTATTGCTTATTGCTTAATACAACTTGTGATCATAAGTAGTATATTGCTATGTGACTGTGTAAAAATATAATTATTTGGTCGGAATCCATGTTATTCAAGTACACTAAAGGATGACATCGTTCAGTGTTACGCACGCTCTGGTTGGTCATGCAGATATTGTGATGTCATTTTTATCGTTTTCGGAAGTTACGCACATCTGGACATATAAAATGAAATGGAGTGCACTTTTCTGTGCGTCGTCTGTAATCTATTTCTTTAATAGACTTTTTCTTTAAAGTGGTCTAAACTTTCTGCAATGGAATCCTTGAATGATTTGCACACTTTCATTTATATTATTGCATTTTTTGTAACAATAAATTTAACGTTTCAGCTGCTCAGTTTTGATAAAGATTAAATGGAAGCAATCCAGAAGAAATCAAGAGCACTTTATATGAGTATAGAATGAAGGCTAACCTTCCGGAAGTAAACATAAACAACATCCAGATGATTGCTGACAGCCTTGTCCTCTACAATGTTGTTGAAAAAAGAACGGCAGAACTTGATGACATGGCGAAAGGAATGGAGAGTGTTAAGTTGATTACTTTCCTAAGAAGTAATGCAAGTGTCTGTAGWTATCACTGAAAAACAGAATCCAGACCGACAAAAATCTAAAAGATGTTGAGGAAAAGGCAAAAGATTTCCTATATGAATATRTARATGAACTGCAGTCAAGAAAGACAAGTACAGGTGCTAAAACTTTTAATGCAATTCAAATGCATAATTTATATATTTGTCTGAATAGTATTGTTTTACACCCAAGGCATTGCTTAACTAACCGCTATTTCATGTGTATATGGAAGGGAATAAAACACAATAACATAATTTTCTAAGAATATTGCTATACTCAATTTATCACGGAATTTAAAAAAAAATGTCAAGAAATTCATATAGTCCGGTGTGACATTATCATTTTTTCACAGGGGGTAAGGTGGTGAGCTGCATTATTTGTTCATGATAGATAAGCAGGAAGAATCGGCTAAATATCTCAGCCTAACAACAATGGATTACTCTGAAACTCACATGGGATGCTTTTCATAACTTGTTTTATATAAGAAATATCACCTGACGTCATAAGCAGGTTGCTGTTTTTGCTTTTTCACAAGCTATCGACCATCAGCTCCTATTTTATACTTATGTACGAGTCTTTCCAATTTTTTTGTATGACTATTATCTATAAGGTGCCCACGAACATTACCACTTAATAAGGTACTGTACTTACTGATCAATAAAAATACATATATAATGTGATTATATCTGCCTGATGAGTGCGCAAGCACGAAACTCAGAGTTGCAGCGAACCACCGCTCTACACATATGTGTAACAAGCACTTTTCATTAAATGTGCTACTAATAATTATTATTATAGAATGTGAAAAATATTTTTTTATTCCAGAAACAAAGAAAGCATCCCTTTTTGACCTTTTAAAGTTCTGGACTGGAGCTGGTCAAATGCCAGACTTAAACGAAGAGCTGTTGATGCAATTCCCAGCCGACAATGAGGAAGTTCCTTTGCCAATGGCAAACACCTGCTTCAACAGGATGGCCATACCAACTAGATATCAAACATACACTGAATTTGCAACAAAGATGGATATAGCATTAGTGTATGGCTGTGAAGGTTTTTCTGAAGTATAATTTCATCACGCAATTAATGCGAGTAGGTACAAGAAACAAAAACCCTTAACTTGTCGCGCAACATTTGTTCAAGCTGAGCATCGATATTTCTCGTTTTTCATGCATCGTCAACTTGTCATGCAACAAAAATACATGGTGAAAAACAAAAAAAGACACCAATTTCCATCTTGGACAAAAACAATGTTTCATGCAAAGTTGAGGGTTTTTGTTTCTCGTACTTACTCGCCCTTTAGTTGTTATTTGATAATAATGCAGGTAGAGTGGTCTAGCTATTACTATTGTTAATTGTTACAAATTCTGATTGCATATTAATTGAGATGCTATTACATGTATAAGCAATCACAATTGATTTTTTTTTCACGAATATATCAATTTTATATTTATACATATATTAATGTTGCTGTTACAAATATTTTACTGGAAATTCATTGTACAACAGTAAAATATCTTTCTATAGCCATATTTGATTTGATTTACAAGTATAGTTGAACCTCGATTATCTTGACGATCGTTCGGACTGGACTAAAAAGTCTGAATAATTGAGATATAGTCTGTTAGAATATAGCTGAATCGATCAAATCCCAAGCCGTTTCTTTGATATCAAAACAGGCTAAAACTCAGGTTTAAATAAACATTTTGTTAGCTGACTTTGCAATGATGGTAACTTATTAATATTCATGAAAAAATGTGACTTGAGATAAAGTGCAGATAATCAAGAAATCTGGATAGTCGAGGTTGGACTGTAAGTATTGTCATTCATATCCATTTATAAAATCATAATGAGCATGGAATAATAACATATTCACAACATGCCTTCATATAAAAATTGGTTCATAATATTTTGACCTATATTCTTTGAAAAGTTGCTAATTGGACACACAAATTTTGAGTTTGGAGCATTAAAGCTAATAAAGGATTTATGTGATGATTTCAAAAGTTAGATAGTCACATTTAATGGTTGTTTAGATTTAAAATGGTATACAATAATAATGTTAAGATAGCATTGATATTTAGCTGAGATACCCTGTTTGAACATGCGAAGGTTCAATCAAACCTTATAGACAAAATGCAAAAACCTATAGGCTATTTCCATTGCAAGGTAATTCAAATGTTACGTTTTATAATAATAATCATGCATTTAACAATCCGCAAACGTAATCAACAGCAGAAATGTACAAAGTAATGACATCATATATCGGCATGCCTTCATGTGGAGAAAATCTTGATGAGATTTCCACCATATTTTCTCCATTGATGGGGCACACTGTTTCAGGAAATTCCACTGATTCTGGAGATGGGGAGGGAACTGGACCTTCATAATCAACACCATAGTTCGAAAAATCATTCTAATTGAAGAACCAAAAAATAACATTAATAAAAGGAAAAATGAATATGTACATGAAATGTCTAGTGTTTGAGATTTCTGACATTGTTGCTCCTCAATGGAAAAACTTTTCTCTGAATATGTTACTACCTATTTTTAGTAATGCTTGAATAAATAAATTGGAAATTACCTGGGACTCTTGTCTTGATACTGCTGGGCAACTATTAAATGTGCTGTGCAGCCCCCTGATCCACAACTGCATTGGAGAAAAATTCTTTTCTGTTCTCAATGGGTGATGAATCCAAGAATTTGCCCACACTGCCATCCTTCTATTGATAACTGGTAAAAAAGACATAATGTAAACACCACAGGTGGATTTCATCATCTGGATTTGTCCATCCACATTGTTCTAGCTCATAGAATATGTCGTAGAACCGCTGGAGGCATCCTTCAAATACATCTCTCCACAGTCTTTCAATGCGCTGATTGTGAGTGCTTTTGCCTAGAAGTAAGATTTCACACCTAATAAGATTTAGTTATCTACTAACTAAGACTTCCAGTAAGTACATKCCAAATATTATAAACTATATAAAACTTAAAAATGTGCGTTTTCACACAACCTGTAATCATGCTTCCTCTTCCTGGTCCTCGTTGTGGATGTGTCAGCATACTCCAGGATTCATCAACATTTTCCCCTCCCTTATCAGAACGTACTCGGGATGCCAATCCATACTCATCAACTGCAGCTAGAAAATTATGGAGGACTGTGTCTGCCCTGTTGTTATTTGACGCTTTAAGATACACTGGTATCCTTGAAAAACCATCGACTCCACCATGCACAACGATTCGCCACCTATTAAATTTAATTGAAAGGAATAGCAAATACATGCATAAGTGTGTAATCAAATATTATTCAGAACAAATGTTAAGTAAAATGTCTAAAATGTACCTTATTAGCTTATGATTGCCATCTATGTGCCATAATGCCAAAGGGGAGGRAACATTATATTTTCTTCTTTGAACAGTTTGCCTCCACCTTTGCATAGCTCCAGAGGGATCAATTGTTAGGAGTGAATGCCTAATTCGCTCTCTTTGCACTCTATGCCCCATGCTTAGTAGATGGCCTTTTAACATTCTAACCCCAATATTTTGATGATCAGTTTGAGCCAGCCTTACTGCTAAATCAAGGTCATTGTCACTTAAAGAACTATATGTGCCTGTAATTAACATTAAAAATCACATGAACATTTTAAGTTATTATAAACAATCATTAACTATTTTATTATTATATCATCTTTACATAATCATTTGCTGAATTGTAATCCAGCTACTGTTTAGCGTATTGTAAGACAACTTRTGTAGCACATTATATATTTCAATTATTCAGAACATTAAATGTGAAGTAAAATATAGTAGGACATTATTGTATTGCATATAGGCATATTAAGCTTAATCAACTTGATTACTAATTTTTTTTTTCTTTTAATAATAAYAACTTTATTGAAACTCTCTACAATATATTAGAATAAAATAATTGGAAAAKAAAACATTTGTACACTATAATATTTACAATTAAACAATAAAAAGAATCATTATTCCTGTGTGATCGATTTGTAAAATTTGATTAAAAAGGACTCATAAACTATGGGAACGACAATAAAATGAAATAGAAATTGAATAAAAAAAAGAATAATAAATATATAGTATATACATATTTTTTTTAAAAAAAAGTATAGTATACTATAAATATAGTATATAAATATTAAAAAAAAAAAAGTATATACATATAAAATTACATATTGATCAATCCTTCGTTATTTTGTAATTCAAAGTCAATGTTTTGAATGTCTCTTTTGACTCTTTTGATTGTTCTTGAACCGCGTAAACAGACTAGTGCTGATCTTAATATTGAGAAGCTGATCTTTGCTCTGATCCATGAGATTGTGGACGCGTATGTCTCGTTTTTCTTGTTTGCAATTAATTCGGCGAGGCGGCTATGGTATCTTGTGCATTCCTTGCTCATACCTCCTGTAGTAGAAAAGACGAGAGGRGTAAAAGTTCCGTGTTCAATTTCGTTGACTCGTTCGGCATATTTTCGTTTCTTTTCGTCTTCGTGCATTTTGTAGATTTTGGGGATTTCTAAGTGTTCATACGTATCTGCGTTTGGGCAACACACMCTAACATCAAAGAAGGCAGAACGTTGYTTTTCCCAGAATCCTCTGGCATGTATGTCGAGTCTTGCATCTGCTGCTTTATTTGACCCTTYACTTAACTGATCGTTGGATATGTCTTGGAGGACTGACTCAATCTCCACATCATTGCAGACTGAACTTAAAAGCTCAGCCTC